CGGGAAAGAAAAGTAGAATATAGAGTAAAACCTTCAGTGTGAATAAGTTCTTTTGGGAGAGTCTGCAGGAAACACACAGGATAGGCTTCCCCTCCCCCTCCCTTTCAGCCCCCCTAGGCAGACCCACACTGCAGGGGGGTGGTTGATAGGCAGGGCCTGGATGGAGGGAGAATCTGCCCCTTTCAGGGAGGAAAAGGCTGAGAAGGGCCAGGGATTCCTCCCCCATCTCAGCTCCAAGGACTCGAAGGGGGTCCGAGTTCAGCCGAGGGGCTGCAAAGGGAGACTTCAGCGTGACCTTGACGAGATGGAATTTGTCTCTAATTGCTTTAATTAGGAGATTAATCAAGAGAGGAGGCCTCCCTCCCTGCAGCTATTTCATCTTAACTGAGAAGATGGTGCTCGGATGGTGGGGGCAGGAAAGGAGGGAGCCTGGGGTCACTGGCCAGAAGTTGTGTGAAATGTCTAAGGGGGGGGGTCAGGAAGGCCAGTCCAAAAACTTGGGGTGCCCCCTCCCCTTCCCCCAATGACCTGAATGGCCCCCTCCTTACCTTTCCTTTTGCAGTTTCCCAAAATGAGGAAACATCCTGGGTAACATTTTAGTGTTATGTGGTGTTTTTGTGTTTAATTGCACCACATTTTGGGGTCTCTTTTAAGGAAACTCTGCCTAAAATCTTAGAAAAAGATTTGGGGGCTCCAGAAGAGAGAATTAGAAGAACCTCCTAATTAATGGAGGGGGAATAGAAGAAACTCACCTGCAGGTTGCTGGATGAGAGTTGCTAAAAGGAGAAAAAGATCCAGTCAGAACCGTGAATGGGTGGAGCACTTAGGAGGTCCCACTCCCCATCGATAGCCCATAATATATTGCACGATATTCCCTTCTAGCCCCCCCGAAGAACAAAAGTTCCCAAACCAATTTCTCAGGGGGACCTTGGGATTCGGGGGGCAAGGGGATGGTCTTCGCCATTGACTCGCCAAGCTTGATGAGATGCCTTCTCTGGAGGATCCCCTCCCCATATCTTTTTATCCAGCCCCCCCCCAGGACTCACCTTTCTTGTTCTTCAGGTAGAAGGAGAGCCCCACAGCCAGGAAGACCACCCCAGCACGGCCCCAACAGCCCCCGTCCACAGTTTGCTCTTGGGAGCATTGGAGGAACGTGGCTCTGGGGAAGGAGAAGGAGCCTCGTGTGAGCAGGAGGATCATGGCCAGCTTCCTCCGGGGGGGCCATTCTGGCTCTACACACAGAGAGGGTCTTTCCAGCCCCCCCATCGATGACCCCTTCTCAGTGCAGGATGGTGTCCCCAGACCAGGACGGAAGGAAGGAAGGAAGGAGCTTACCCCACTGGACATTGATGGGGGCCTCCAGGCTGGCATGCCCCACCTTGCAAGCGTAGACGTCCCCACACTGGGGCTGGGTCTCCAGCATCACCTGGAGCTGGTAGGTCCAGTCTCCGGTCTGGAGCTCCTCCCCGAAGGCGACGCCCTCCTTCTCCGGCCGCCCGTTCTTCAGCCACTGGACGTCGATCTCCAGGGGGTAAAAGCCCGTCGCGGTGCAGAGGAGGACGGTGTTGGGGGAACCGGGGTCCATCTTGGTGGGGGAGATGGTGACGGTGGGCTTGGCTGGAGGGAAGGGAGAAAGAGGGACATGAGAGACTCAACAGGGCCCAGAAGAGAAGAGCAAGTCGGTTGGTTCAGGCCAAGGCCCGTCTTAGTCTTGAAAATGTTCCGTGTTTCAAGTCCCCTTTCCAAGAGTTTTATTTGGAGAGAGGGAGAAAAACTTAACTTTCCTCTTCTGCAGCCTTTCCTGTCCACTGTTGAGTCGGTTAAATTTGATTTTGGACGAGATGAGAATTAAGCAGATTCAGACCTGGCCCAAAAAGGCCATCGGATGACTAGAAAGTCAGTGATACAAATTCTAGAAACTGAATAAAATCCCACATGATCTGGATGACACAGAAAGGAGCAGAAAACAACAAGCAAGATTTAAGGGGAAAAAAGTGCAAACTGCAATGTGGCTCAAACTGGCACAACTCTTGGATGGATTAACGGAGGGGCCCCCAAAGAGGGTCCTTTAGGGCTCCCTCCAGCTGGGGAGGGGTCTCAGGTGGCGTCCCGGGGTCTATCCTGGGTCCTTCTGTCCTTCAACGTTTGGATCAGGGAGTTGGGGGGAGATCAATGAAGCTGGTGGCCTTCCAGGAAGACGTCTGTGGGCCAAGACAAGGCTGATTCTCTCTCCCTCGTCAGCTGCAAAAATCAAAATGTTTCTGCATCTTCTGGTATTATGGCTCGTAAAGGGGGCTCCCGCCCTGCCTTCTCCCCCCCAGAGAGGCCTCAGCGGCGCCGCGGCTTGTGGGGGGGAGGTGCTGCAAGGAATGTTTGGATCTTATTTTTATTAGCTTTTTTTTCCTT